CTCTCTGCCATGAAGATCTGAGCAAAAGTGCTGCAGCAAGGAAAAGTAATGCGTTCAGGACTTAAGCACACAATTTGCCCAGCCACAGCAAACCACGCGATGAAGCCAGAGTTACCTGTTCAACCAGGATGGCGTGATGAACTTTGCCTTTTCTCTGCAATGACGTCGAAAAGCCCTTCATGTTGGTGGATCCTATGTTATCCTCCAGGAAATCTGCCTGTGTTAACCAAAACAAAAAAAGACCGACTTTCACTCATAAATAATGTTTATATATGGTGGTTTTCACAGATTCTTCTTCTTAAATTGAGTTTAACTTAGTTTGATGGCCATGTCTGCCAAAGGGTTCAGCGACGTGTTTGTTGACCTGTGCGCTTAGATCAGGGTGTGGCACACATTAATTTCCATCGGTTAAAATTAATTGCCCACTGCTGATCTAGATGGTTGTGCTGGGTTATTTGTTGGTCATAATGTCAGTATAGCTGGAGTGACTTGGTTTAACCAGACATGTAACTATATTTATGATAGGGAACAGGCATACATACACTAACTCCTCCTAGATGCACGGATCAATCTGGATGAAACTCATTATATAAACTGGGTAAGGTCGCAGGATTATCAACATCTACATCGCTTATAACACTCGAATCCTTACAAATTACATATAATATGTCTAGCAGCTGAACTACAGCAACATTAAATGTATGCTGCAGGCATGTTGTTGTTCATAAATACATTTTGTTAAATAATTTTAGTACAGTGGCACTTTGAGAGTCACTGGAATGTGTTGTCATGCATAACTGTGCCTGTGTTCATCTGACGGTGACACTGACAGTAAGTTACAGTGTCTAATAATCAGTCCGACTGACTAGTTTATATAATGAATATGTAGTTTGCACAGAAGAAGAAAAATATGGGTTTTTTTAATTGATTTGATTGGTGCTTATGAGCAGCCCTTTTTGCAGTCGCACTGTACGTAGCGATATAATAAAAATAAAGAATAACATGTAAATTAAAATGTATGCGTTTTAATCCAACAAATACACCAGGCTAGCAGGTATAACACTAGTTTAAGTAATGTGATGTTAACTAATATTACCATAAATGTCATTTTTGGACTAATTAATACTATGTATGCTCTCAGATAAGCATGTTTGCAGATCGGATGGCTACCTGTCTGACAAAGGCCTTTTTCAGGCCTTCGTGTGAGTCTGCCCAGATCTTGGCATAGCGGCGGATGGTAAAGAGTTCATCGTGGACAGGTGACAGGGCTTGGCCAATCACCTCTATGAGTTTGTCATGCGGCAAACTCTCATAGGCTCCACTCACGTCCATCTTAAACAAAGAGGAAAAAGCTAAATTATGCATTACCTATACAATATGTCCATATTAGTGTGCTGAAATTTACAGCTGTATTATCCTTAAAATAAATTGAAAGTTCTCTGCCAAACTATTAAATGTAACAACTCACCTTAACAAAATAGAGGGGTTGTGGTTTTTCTTTCTGCGCTGGTGCCAAAGAGCACAAAACTTTGTGGATGTCAGTCATCCCCCACACTGTGGATCCCAGTAGTGATGGAGTGGCACGCACACAGGCCCGCAGCATATCCAGCAAGTCCCTGACATGACCTCGGTAGAGCTGTAGGGAGGACCAAAGAAAAGTTGAAAAACCAGCCCATGGACACAGGATGTAATAACAGACAAGTCTGAGGTAACTGTTGGTGCGTACCCTTGTTTTGGCATCTGCTCCTATGACTCGTGTGATAGGCCTCATGCCATCAGTCTTGGGAATGAAGCGAAGGCGGGAGATGACGGTGCCTTTGGGCAGGGATGCCACCTGAGCTGGAGTCAGCTCCTCCATCTGGCCTTTGGAAAGGTGACCTCTACATGAAAAGAAAATTTTGTTCCTTTTTTTTGGAAGTATGCCTCATGTCTGTATGTATGCTGGCTACTGTAGTAATGTTGTGTGAGTGTACCTGAAGGCCAATTCTTGCAGTTTGGTCCAGACTTCCTGCCTGTAGAACCTGATGGCGTTCTTCTGCCCAATACTCTCTGTTGCATAGAAACAGGCTCTCACAAGGCCTGTAACATATCCATCCAGAAGCCAAGCCAAGAACTGACCCAGGACCTGTGTCCGATACGCAAGCTCGCTGGGTGGAAAACGGCCTGCAGATGAGTTACATTAGTTAGGTCGGGCATGAAACACGAAGCCATGAAAAAAGAAAAAAAAAAAGACCATTGGTGCTAACCTCACCTGTTTTACTCCTCTTCAACCAATCACAGTCATTCACCTTTATCTTCCACATCAGTTCAGCCAGTGAGAGCCTCTCAAACTTGCCACTTTGCAAGAAAGTCCTGACCCTGGCAAAGAAATGCAGCCGGTTTTGATCAGAGCCCCACAGTTCTTGTGGGATCACAGAAGAGAGGCATTCCCGGACAAACAGGTAAACCCTGTGCGGTGCACAGTGCTGAGGTAAGAGTGAGTTTAGTTCTCCCTGTCCTGCATTGCTCTCCTCCATTGATGGACATAACCTCTGTAGTATTCTGGTGTAGGGACATCTCCTGTGTTGTTGTAAGAGCTGCCTAAACAGGGGGACCAAGCCAAAGAACCGCTGGGAGAGTTTTTTAGGCTTCCTCTCTACTCCATTCAAATGCGCTAGTCCCTCGAAGAAGACTATTCTTACCAGATCTTGTCCTTGAAGCCTTCTGGATCCATGAGCAGTCTTCTTCCTCCTGTTAAGAAGAAAGCCACGCATGCCCCTGCCCCCATACAGGAATCCCAGGGTACGGATAAAACATTGCGAGGGTGGTAAAGGGGGGAAAATCCCTGTTCTCCAACTAGGACCACCCTCCAAGGGAAGTACAAATGTTGGCATTTCAACAGGCTGTTTGAAAGCTGTAGGTGGTGCTGATTCCACAGCCACGGCCTGTCCTTCCTTTTCAGAGCCAACTTGTTGGATCGCCTGTTGATGTTCTACAGATGCTACTCGCCTCCTCTTTCTTGAACAAACTGCCACCTCCTCCTCTTCTCCAGTTTCCCGTTTTCTTTTCCCTTTTGTCCCTCCTTTATTCCTTCTTTTCATCTTCTTGCTTGCAGGAGTCACAACTGTGCGTTTCTGTTTCAAACTCACTGACCCTCGACAGCTCTCAGTCTTGGTACGATTATGTTTCCTGACTCGCGGCTGGAGAAAAAACCCACAAGAGGCCGTGGTCATGGACACCCTGTCATAGACTGGAGGGCCGCACACCTGGAAAGCACACGAAGGAGGAACTGCCACAAACACAGAGCAGCTCTCCAGGAGATACTGCGTGATGTCTGTGCCCAGACGCGTTATGACTTTTTTCCACAGGTCACTGCCGTGGATGTAGGCAGCACTCTGTGTTACATCGCCTTGGAATTTGAGGAAATCTGCATCCCGATCCTCCTGAGCCAGCGTCTGAAAATTATACCCATGTGCCAAGACATTCCTTTTTCTTTTTCTTTTTAGAGTGTTGAGAACAAACGCCAGTAGTTCAGGCAGACTGCAGATCTGTGGAAAGTATGAATACATAAGAAGAGGCCATCTGCCATTAAGCTGTTAAATCTTGACGAAGGCAAACTCTTTGCTATATTAGCCCAGAGACAAAACAATAATCTGAGTTCTTTATTCTTCTATGTAATTAAAATTACTTCAAAGTTACAGCTTGCCTTACTAACTAGAGCCATTAAATCAAAGAGTCATGGCACTCGAAAGATCCTGAAATGAAATATCCCACGTATAACTTAGCACAGTGAAAACCCTTTCAGAGTATTATTCTGGGGCCCGCCCCGTGTCCTAGTGTAGAGCCGGACGAATATATCGGGCGATATTAACTATCTGTCATTATAACTGGATACATTTAAACATGTCTAATAAAGGAGAAAGGGGGGGGGGGGGGGTGCCCCAAAAGAAAAAAAGAGGACCTCGCTGAAGCTGAAATATCCTCCAGCAGCGCACATTTTACTCCCAGCTTAGTTTCAATGAGAAAAAAAAAATATAGGAGTGTAACATGGTTTCCTGGCTTTAACATTATAACAGCATGGCAGGCAGAGTTAGCTACACCGCTTCAAACGTCCACAGAGGAGTGCGTGTCAACTCCTCAGGACTAACCTGGGAAATGTACATGTATACTTTTCAATAGGGCGAAACGTTACCTGTTTGCAGCTCGCTACCTTCTGTAGCTCCTTGTCAAAGCACACAAAAACACTCCTAACGAACGATTTGAAACGGTTTGTATCTGTCTGCTCAATGAGAGCTGCTTTCTGTCCCTCTCTGAACACGATGCTGTCCGAAAACTCCTCCAGTGTCTGCGTGTGCCGGTACAATAACCGAAGGATATCCAGCACACCGGACATATCAGTCGCAGACATACCGACTGTGCTCGGAGCACTTGGACAGAGGTTAGCTACTTTACAACTGGATTTAGCTATGTTTCACGTTTTAAGGGCCCGCGTCATGCTTAGCCTATGGGAAAGCGGTTTATTAGAGCCGGCCAATCAAAAGTTCTCATACTAAAGGGGGGAATTTACTGTTGACCAATGACAAACAGGTAAAGGCTTGTTGTCTTTTGGCACGAGTGTAGTGGAAAAAGTGACAGTATCACGTGCTATGAGAACTGCTCACCAGAGATCATTCATTCTGTCACCAGCATTATATGGGCACCACAGGCGGTTAAAGCGACATTTGTTTATGACCTTAAAATTACATTTTAATTATATAAAAAAAAAAAACCCCGCAAACGAAGCCTTCAGAAGAACAACAACGATAAAGTTTTCTACCTGGTGTGCCTCTGCCAAAGTCCACAGAAATGCCAAGAAACACAATAAGCACACGGGTGGTGTTTACCTTCATAACGTCCAGTTTGTAACAGTATATTTTAGTAAGGATAACAATACATTAGTTTTCTCAGTATTCGTGTCTGGTGTGCGTGCTTTGACGTAAAAATAGTGTCATTGTTCCTATTTGCTATGGCTGGTGCTCTAGGTTGCCATCGAAATTACTTGCAGCTGCACCGGAGTCTGCGATAGCCACGCGCACAGGTGCTGCGCCGTAATTGGTGGGAAGACGCCCCTCTTTGTACTGAGCGCGCGAATGCACCCACGTCTCTCACAGTCGGCTGCTCGGTTAGCTAGTTCTTAGCGTGCCGTTGTACTCCCGTGGTTTAAACGGTACCGGGGGTCTGCAGGCACACCGGAGGACCAGCTTGGACGAGGCTCAAGGGGCTCTACACCTTAACCACACTTCAGCTTTCAGTTTTCTGTCAGCTACGTGGGAGAAACATGATGTCAGACAAGGAAGGTAGAGTGAGTACTTTAGTTGTCAGCAAAAAGAAACGATTCTGTTTGATGCCTCTCAGCTAGTTGTCAGGTTAGCTTAGGTGGCAGCTAGGGCAAGCTGCCCGTAGCTCTTGTGTTTTACTCTATAACAGTCAACACAAGCGGGGGTAATTTAAGAGTGTGAAGGTGAACTTTACTGATGTCAAAGCTCAGTTATTGTTTGGGCACAGTCTCTGAAAAGTTGGGGTAATTTGTGTGTGAATACCGGGCAGAGGTGAAGAAATGAGTTCACGTCTTATGGTAATGCTAACGCTGTAGCAAGGTGCGGGAACAATGAGAAGTTTCTCATAACACTGATAAATACCTAGGCCTTGTCACGTTAACAGTCAAATCACTTGATAGCGAAATTTGTTGACTGTAAAGACCAACTTTTAAAGGTTGTTGCCGATTCACCTGAATAATAAACTAGACTGGAGCCGCAACACTGATGAACTTTACAGGAAGGGTCAGAGCAGACTCGACCTGCTGAGGCGGCTGAGGTCATTTGGAGTCCAGGGAGCTATGACTCTGTGGTGGCATCCGTCATTTTTTACAGTGTGGTATGTTGGAGCAGCAGTTTATCGGCAGCTGAGAGGAAGAGGTTGGATAAACTCATCAGGAAGGTCAGCTCTGTTCTGGGATGCACCCTGGACCCAGTACAGGTGGTTGGGGACAGAAGGACTCTGCCAAAATAACATCTCTGATGGACAGTCTCCCACCCCATGCATGTAAATGTTGCTTAACTGCAGAGCTCCTTCAGTGACAGACTGCTGCATCCTCGATGCATGAAGGAGCGTTTCTGCAGGTCCTTCCTCCCTGCAGCTGTCAGACTATACAATCAAAACCGCTCCCAACAAACATAGTGCAAGTGACAGCGCTGATGTAAACCTCTATTTTATCAACCGATTCACACTATAACCAGGGTTTGCCTCTTAACTTTATTTAATTTTATTTAATTTAATAACGGTACAGTACTCTGTTTTTGGTAACAATTGTCCTTGATGTAAATATGTAAAAATTGTGTATGTTTCTGTTCTGTGTCTTGTGTTTGTTTGTATATGTGTCTTTCTTGCTGCTGTTACACCCAAATTTCCCCTTGTGGGACAATTACAGGGTTATTCTATTCGATTAACTGTAACAGAAATAAATCTAGTATAAACTAACAGCTTGAGTTAGTGAAAGCTATGGATATATCTGACAGGTATTTGTACTTTTTATTTAGTTACAGTATTACTGTGTGGCCAATTATCAATACTGGTTCTGTGACCACTTTGTCTTCCAGCTGGTGCTTTTGATGATGCGTTGGAGGAGAGGGTCATCAATGAAGAGTACAAGATCTGGAAGAAAAACACCCCCTTTCTTTACGACCTGGTTATGACCCATGCCTTAGAGTGGCCCAGCCTGACTGTTCAGTGGTTACCTGACGTCTCAAGGTGGAAGCGCTTACACATTTGACCAGTTAATATATCTCAAACATGCAAGAAAGTGGTATTAATGCATTAAACCTTTTTTTTTTTTTTTTTTTTTCTCCCTACCAGGCCCGAGGGAAAGGATTACAGCGTACACAGGCTCATTTTGGGCACTCACACGTCTGATGAGCAGAATCACCTGGTTATTGCTAGCGTGCAGCTGCCCAATGATGATGCCCAGTTTAACACCTCGCACTACGACAGTGACAAAGGAGGTGGGTATATTGATAAAGAGAGAATGTATAATGCATTCACTTCATATTTTATATACTCACAGCTTGCAAACATATTTCTCTATATTTCCCTGAAGAGTTTGGAGGCTTTGGCTCAGTAAACGGCAAGATTGAGATTGAAATCAGGATCAATCACGAAGGAGAAGTGAACCGTGCCCGCTATATGCCCCAGAACCCCTGCATCATTGCCACTAAGACCCCCACCTCAGATGTGCTGGTGTTTGATTACACCAAGCATCCCTCAAAGCCAGGTGCAACAATCACACAAAGCACAACACACCGCTGAAGATGGCATGTTCTTGAGTACGTTATGAAAAACTGGATTGTGATTGGTAGCTTGCTGGTATTAAAACAATTATACAACTTCATCAAAACATAAATACTGGGCGTACAGAATCGCTAGTCAAAAACAAACTTGTCTGTTCAGTTCTTTTAGACTCGCACCTCTCTTCCAGTGTCTCTGAATTGACAGTTGATTTTATTATGTCGTCTTTAGATACTCCAGGAGTGTGTCGCCCTGATCTGCGTCTCAGAGGCCACAAGAAAGAAGGCTATGGTCTATCCTGGAATTCAAATCTGTCAGGAGCTCTTCTTAGTGCGTCAGATGATCACGTAAGAGGAAGTAGTTCTTGTTTTATGAAGAAATGGTGCTAAATATTTTTCTGTTTTTAATTTTTAGCAGCAGATATTTCCAACTAGGGCTATTTTACAGATTTGTTATATTAGTTTCAATCACTATATTTCCAGTACCATAAATAAAAGTAAACTGCTTTGCCAAAAAAGTCACACACACAGATATTTTGGTGGGCCGACTTCAGCCTTCATGACCGCTTGCATTCACTGTTTGGTTCCAATCCCTCGAGTTGTCTGTGTGACGTGCACATGGAAATGCTCGTAATTTAACTATTAAACTGCTCTCAGCTTTGTTCATTTGCAGCTTCTATTACTGTAGTTATCACAGAGCATTATTTCTACGATTAGGTTATTGAACTAGCATTTCTGATGCCAGCTGGTGAATTAAATCATTTACTCAGCTGATCCTTTACATCAGGGGTCTCAAACTCCAGTCCTCAAGGGCCGGTGTCCTGCAACTTTTCTACGTGTCCCTGTTGCAACACGCCTGAATACAATTAATTAAAGTCATTAGCAAGACTATGCAACTTTTAGACTGCATGCTGAGGTGGAAATTCAGCCGTTTGATTCATGTTACAGCAGCTTGTGAGTGAATGAACATGGTGCAATAAAAGTACTTTTAGAAGTTCATTTTTCCAAACACTTACATTTACTTAAATTTAGCATGCAGGTGAGTTCTATATTCTCGCTAATGAGCTACTAATTTTATTCAGGTGTGTTTGCAACAGGAACACCGGCCCTCAAGGGCTGTGTCCCAAGTAAGAGACTGCACGCTTGAAGTACGCGCACTACGTACGGTGCGTACTATAAGTACGAGAAGTGTGGAAGTGAGAGGCTTGTGAAATGGGACGGTATACGCTTCGTCGTGCTGTTCAGGTTGCCTAGCAACCATGATACTAACCACGAGACACGTTACATACAGCGTTGTTTGACAGAAATGAAGGAGAAAATGTTTTGTTGGTCATTCATTTTTGTCATGACATCACTTTGATTAGTTGAGTATCTGAGGCTGAGACCACGGACTGTAAAACATGATTATTGGGCTTCATTTCTGTGCTGAACAGTCATTTAAGATTAGTTAGTAAATAACAATTAGTTAATGTTGTTCATGAGACTAAAGTCAACTCACTGTGGTGATGTAAATATAATATGGCCAATATTATAGTATTGTCAGAATATTATGAGATGTGTGTGTATATCGATCTATCTATCGATCGTCATATTCAGTACTTTTGACAGTTCACTCTTCGGCCGCTCCATCTTATTAGGGAAATTCCACATACATAAATGTAAATTTCAAAACTCAATCCCATCATTTAATTTGTTTTTGATTGAAATTGAATATTACTTAAACTCTCTTAAATTAACTTCCAATAAAAAAGGTTTATCATTGATTGAAATTCGTTCAGCAATGTTCAACGAATGAGCGGTCACAACTTTCAAATACAAAGTTGTTATGAAGTCTGTCACATCCCCCTTTTTTTTTTTTTTATCCTTTATTTATCCTTATTTCATTGTACTGTATATTGTTACTCTTATTTGCCTTGTATGTCTACTGTACAAACTGAACTGGAATGACTGACTGTTCGCTTTATGGTTTCAATAAAGTTTGGAAGAAAAAAAAAAACCTCTTCAGCCGCTCGCCTCTGCCGCATTTTGCGGCAAAATTATTCACACCCACCGCCGCGCTATGAATTGTGGGATATATGGGACCACGAATCGTGCACCGGACCACGCTTGATATTTGGGGAAATGGACGGCGCATTTGGAGTATGCATTTGAAGCACACTTCGAATTGGGACAGCCGTCGTCGCGTGGCGGTGACGTAACCGCACTTAAAATGCGTCCTTCAAGCGTGCAGTTACCGATAATTGGGACACAGCCAAGGACTGGAGTTTGAGACCCATGCTTTACATCAGGGGTGGGCAATTCCAGGCCCCGAGGGCCGGTGTCCTGCAAGTTTTAGATCTCACCTTTGGTCAACACACCTGAATCACATGATTAGTTCATTACCAGGCCTCTGGAGAACTTCAGGAGCTAATTTAGCCATTTAAATCAGCTGTGTTGGTTCAAGGACTCATCTAAAACCTGCCCTCGAGACACCGGCCCTCGAGGCCTGGAGTTGCCCACCCCTGCTTTACATTCATAACTACAATGACTTCTGTCTAAATGTTTTTCCACAAATGCTGTCAGAAACTGACCTTAATGAAATGTCAGGAAGGTATTAAAAAATGTGCACTGCCAAAAACCTTCTGTTAACAATCATTTTCCAATTTGACTACGTTTTTACAAAACTGAAGTGCAAACATGAGGTTTGTTGTGCTTTTGTCCCTTAGACAATCTGTCTGTGGGACATCAGTGCTGTTCCCAAGGAGGGCAGGATAGTAAATGCAAAGACGGTCTTTACCGGTCACAGTGCTGTGGTTGAAGACGTCTCTTGGCATCTGCTTCACGAGTCGCTCTTTGGATCTGTAGCAGACGACCAGAAGCTTATGATGTAAGGCTCTCAGTGAAATACCACGCGCAGGTGAAGCACACTTACAGTTTTTTTTCAAATGCAGCAAAAGGATGAGCGTCACCCTGTGTCTTGTCCTTTAAGTTGGGACACTCGTTCAAACAATACCTCCAATGCCAGCCATGCAGTGGAGGCCCACACAGCAGAGGTCAACTGTTTGTCATTTAACCCTTTCAGCGAGTTCATCGTTGCCACCGGCTCAGCAGACAAGGTGATATAATATTCCAACACTTTTTAATTGGTATTGTTTTATTAACAGCAGGACTTTTAACTGAGTGCATTTTGTAACTGTTGACTAAATAATCCTCATGGTATTGTTAGTTTTGTAACTGCAGTGTTGTTGCCGAAAATGTTGCAGGCATGTTTTAATCTATATCTGTGCCGCCCACAGACCGTGGCTCTTTGGGACTTGAGAAACCTGAAGCTAAAGCTACATTCCTTTGAGTCGCACAAAGATGAGATCTTTCAGGTAAGATGTTTCTTTATATGAATGAAATTGTACTGAAATAAGGACAGTATCTAGTGGTGCAGTGATATAATTTTGTATATTTTATACTGATTTAAATTTTAAAATAAAGCACTGAAATAAATCTTATGTAGTATATGCCTCTTTTGACTCAACCTGCTGCCTTCAGCCTGCAGCAGGTTTGGTAAATTTAAATATTAAAGTAAGTTAGCAGTCTGTCTAAATAATATATTTTAACTTCTGCAGCTTTTGTATTTGTTTGTATCCTACAAACAAACTTCAGTGGCTGGGAGAAACTGGAAAAATGCTTTTCTTCACCTCTGAGCTCGTTGAGCAAACATGTTGGTTTGATCAAGTACTGCTGCTAGTTCTCTTACCTGTGAGGCTTTTAATCTCGATTACAATAAGACGCGTTGCTGTTGTGGACTGTAGAAAAACTCCACCCAAACTCACCGTCTTGGTCAGAGCACCGCTTCTTTGCTTTTTGCTGTGTAATGGCTCAGCTCGGCGTTAAACTACGACAGCAATGACTTTGCTGCTGATATCAGTGTTCTTGTTGAGAAAATAGTGGCTGTGTGGGTTTCAATATACACTTCTGCATTTTGATTATTATTAATATTCCTGATGATCATTCCGATGCAGATGCCAAGACGTTCTTGTAATTCCAAAGCAGTGAATCACACAGACAGTAACTCAAAGATTTACTTTTATGATGAATGAATGACCTGCGTTAATTGCTTTTCACCTTCAGCGCCTTAAATTCTGTTTTAGGTTCAGTGGTCACCTCATAATGAAACCGTATTAGCATCTAGTGGAACAGATCGCCGCCTCAATGTCTGGGATCTCAGGTACACAATTATTTGATAAGACCTTCTTAAAACAGATGGCTTTAAAGACTTAGTTGACCCCGGAAATGTGTGGCACAGTGTAGTGACATTGCCTTGTATAAAGTTTAACTCTCATTTCTTCTTCTGTAGTAAAATTGGCGAGGAGCAGTCTCCAGAAGATGCAGAGGACGGCCCGCCTGAGCTTCTGGTGAGACTCGCTGAAGTCTGTAGAAGTGTCGCCATCTTGCATTGATGTATGCCGAAACTTGAAGCTTCTCTTCTCTTTACTAGTTTATCCACGGAGGCCACACAGCCAAGATCTCTGACTTTTCCTGGAACCCCAATGAACCCTGGGTCACCTGTTCTGTGTCTGAGGACAACATTATGCAAGTGTGGCAAATGGTAAGACAGCTGTGACCACATGTTAGCTTTCAATCCCTCTGCCTTGTACCATACGATTTTTAATGCTTTTTGTGAGTGTGTTGTTCCATCTGCCAATTATTTTATTTATTTAGACATATTTTTACTAAAGGTTTTCTCACAGCTAATATTTTTGAGTCTGAATAACTGACACTGATTTGTCCGTGTAGGCTGAGAACATCTACAATGATGAAGAACCTGAGGGTACAATGGAAAGTGAAGCTACCGCGTAACACCTCCACGTGTCGTGTGCATTCACCTACAAGCCTGATCACAAATAGTTCCACTCAGCTACTCCGCCATCCTGCTCCGCTTCCATCGGGACACTAAATGCTAAGAACACAGTGTGACTAAATGTAGCGCTGGCTTGTTTTGGGACACTGAAAGTGACTCGTTTTAGTAACTTACTGCCTCAAGAATTTCACTTTTTTCATTTTTATTTCTTTATTGTTTTTTTTCAATGCACTTATGTATAATCTGTATTTTTGTAATTAACTGGCTCTTCCTTGTACAATGCTATATTGTAAATGCTTTCTTTCCCTAATAAAGTGTTATTGAACAATTAAAAGTGATTATGTTACAACGTTAAGTAAAATGCCAGCTAGAATTTGACGCAGTCCACAGAACAGTGGCATTGAATGTGACTTTCTTGAAGTAATGTTCCTGAAATCTTGTTGCTCTGGTTTTTGTGGACTACAGATGATTATAGAAGAGAGATTTAGAAGGTACTGTTGTCATTTTCATCCTGTTATGTTTTTTTTTTTTTTTTTTTTTTTACTGGAAATGACAAGCAATGACTTGTGATAGACAGGTTGTTGGTCTATGAGCACTGACTGCACTGGACACTCCTTTCTGACCCTTACAGTCACCCTAATTTATTAACAAAATGAACTTTGATTCTTTATGACCTCAAAATAGTAACTGAGTGTTAGCAGACTGTTTATCTGGACCATAAAGCAAAGGAGTAGAGGCCTAATTCCACACAGATAAAGCCAGAAGTCTTCAGAGTCATCGCCCTCTGCTGGCCATTTAAAGAAATGCAGGTTTTTGCTTTTCAGGGTGAAAAGTTACTGTATGGAGGGCCACAAGTGCCAAAATGAATGAAATAAATCCCTCATTAAACAATTAAACATGATTGATTAGTTTTTTAAAATGAAATGTCATTAATTAAAATCATAAAATTTTAAAGTGACATGAATAGATATTTAAGTTTATTTAAGCCATACATTTAATGACACTAAATTATTGATATATTATTTGATTCATTTTGGTACTCATGGTACAGCATAGTTTATTCTCCTTCAGCCACAAACGTTTTTTGCATGTTTAATATTTTGCATGTTTAACATCCACTATGCCTGTAATTCTGTGAAAATGAGGATTGTCTCCTTGTCAAACGTGAGCAGTCACAGTTTTTAATCATTTTAGTGAAAGAGTTGATGATGCTTCGTCACACTTTGCTCAGGCCTCTTTTGTGTTGTGATGTTTTGGTACTTTTTCCCGTCTCTGAGGCTTACTCACCCTGTTCGTCTGTGTCCCAGTGTTTAGTTCTTCAGGCACGTTGGCCTTATAAGTACAAGAAATTCAGTCTGCTCTTCAGAGACAGACATTAACTCATCAGTGGCACTTAGATTACAAAGAACACACTGCGTTTATTCATAACAAAAACTTTCCTACAAGCTGCAGTCTAGTTTATCTTTACAAAAAAAAAAGATTGTCTTGGTTTTGTCCTATAACAGCATGTATGTTTATATGTGTTAAAGTGCACTGATCAAACCTTTAGTTTACTATGTTTCCTAAAACACAAGCTCATTTTGTGTGAAGAACAGTCATGTTTCCTCCTCATTGTCACCCATGTTATGGTCCTGAATGGCATTTCTGTAAAGAAAAACAATCTAGTTACAGGCTTAAAGGTTTAAAGGTGTGGTACAGACTTGATGAACGGATTACCTGTAAAGTAGGAGCTGCTCGTTAAGGCTATCTCTCAACTCCTTGATCTCTTTGGTTTTTCGCTTCTGAATCTGTAACTCAGTCTTCAGTTCTCTGCTGCTCTCCTCCAGACAGTGCACCGTCTCCTGAGAGGCAGGCATAATGTCAGTGTTTTTGTCGTCATGCCCTACTTTTTCCTCAGTCACCTTGGTTACCTTGTACTGCCCCACGTTTTCTCTTCTTTGCATGTGGATTAGATTGAGTTTCTCCTCCAAACAAGCCCTCTGCAGCTTCAGTTTTTCTATCTCCTCCATCAGAGGTCTCAGCTGGGCTCTCAGCTCATGGGCCTGCTCTTTGGCTTTAACGATTGCGCCAGCTGTTGCCTCTCTTCTCTTCAACAGTGCAAGCAAAATGGGCTCATACCTGGACAAGCAAATCAGAGAAAGCTTTAGTGTTTTATAGCTGTAACACTGTGTCAGTGGGTTTTTATGTCTTAAAACTACAGCACTACCAAATGTCTGTGTGTGTCAAAAGGAAGAAAAACACGTGTTTTGGTGATTCCACTGACTGCACCTGTCCTCCAATGCTTTCAGGCCACCCTCCACATACTGCTGTATGTCCCCACATGAATGCCTCCTGCATTCAGTCAGCTCCTCTGCAGTGTTGGTAGTCTGACTGGAGCTCTGTTCCTGGAGCTTCGCTCTTACTACTGAGAGCTGTTGTTGTTGGGCCAGCCTGAGCTGGCAGCCCTCTTCTATCAGCTGGAGCACCAAGGACTTCAGCTTCTCCTGGAAGAAATTCATTTAGAAGAAGATGAATGAATGGTTGGAAATGCATGATGGATGGAAATGTAATTATGTTCTTACCTCTTCTCTCTTTAGTATCTCCACTTCACGGCGCTGGTTGTTCAGAGCTGCCTGGCTGTGGGCGCAGCCCCTCGCCATTGCAAATAGCCTCCTCTTCAGCTTTCTAAGCTCATCTTGTAGCCCCTGTCTCTCCAGGTTCACCTTCCACATCCTTCTTTCCTCCTCTGCCCTCTCCTCCCTGAGGATCTCTCTCTCCCTCTTTCTTTCTCCCCTTCTGCCTTCTTGTTCTTTTTTGAGCACATTCATCAGGTCTGCCACTTTGTTATCAATCTGCTCCTCCTCCTCCTCCTCCTCACTTGCCCCTTGGCCCATTTCCCCTCTCAGGCACAGCACCTCTACCAGCAGCTCCTTCCTCCTCTTCTGTAATCGCTGTACCCCTTCAATGCAGTCCTCCATCTGAGTCCCCAAGGCCTCTAATTCTGTCACACTAGATCCCAGATCTAAGGTGTCTCTCTTGAGTTCTTCTGTCTTCTCAGACAGGAGTTCATTGGCATCTACATCAATCTCAATCACATCTCCTGTTGTTTCTGTGCTTTCATCAAATATATGTCCAGGCTTCATTCCCTCGCAGTACATCGTGTTCTCTTTTGTAGTATCTATGGGTGTCTCTGAAAAGCCGAACACCTTGTCTGTTTTTAGATGACCTGGGCTTTCTGATCGGTCCACAGAGAGCTCACCCATCATGTCATGGCCAGACAAATCTTTGTGCTGGCTGCCATGTGTTGCTGAACCTGCTGTCATTCTTTTCCCGGTGTCCTTGGAAACTTGACCTTCTTCCCAGGAGTCCAATTGCATTGGCTGGCTCTCCGTCTTTAATAGCTTCTCTTGCTGAATGGGCACCAGTGTTGTGCCTCTATAAAGCTGAGGGTTCTTGTTGATGTGTACATATTCTTGGCTTTCATCTGTAACCCACTCTTGGGGTTCAAAATCCATGCCAGTTTCTTCCATACAGCCCTCCAGCATGGCTAGCATCCCCAGCAGCTGGCCTTCATACTCCACCATGGTTTTGCTCAGTTTGTTACCTGCTGATGTCAGAGGCATTTCTGCCTGGCGATAGCGTTCTGTGGTCACGCCACACCTGTCGATGACAGTTCCCATGCAATGCGATTGGCCCTGGGCAGGCTTTTCTTCGGCACTGGTCCCATCTATGTGTGTGTCAATGTAGCTAGTTGAAAGATAGGCTTGGGGGTGTTTCCATGCTTCTCCACACTTTCCCACTGTTACTTCCTCTTTTGCCTGACCATGACTGGATTCATTCAGATTTGTTTCAGTATAATTTGCTGAGTACTGAGAGCCAAATGAAATACCGGTGAGCTCTTCACAGCTCTTCAGTAAGTCATCCATCTCCTGGAGGTATGGCTTTATCAAAGCTGATTGCTTTAGCTGTGCGCCTGTGAAGGTGAGGTCATGGAGGTTTGTGTTACATTCTCCTTGTTCCATGAGGGATCTCTCTGGATTCCCCTCCTCTTCCTTAATGAAGAGTGGCTCAAAACCAGAGGATGAAATGTTATCATCTAGGTCATCCATCTGTTTGGCCTAATTCCCGTTGCCCGTTTTGATGTAGAAGTCCCCTTCAGAAAGGCCTGTTAAACCAGATGAATACGTTAGGCAGTCTCAGGCCTCTTAGCTATATATTAGGTCTGGCTTAAAATGATAACATGTGAGCATACAATAGGGGCTGGGTTAATGTTTTGGCTGGACTTGCAAGCTATGCTGATGTCATTAGCACATGTGGGCATGTGGAGGCATGGTTTAGCAGGGTATGTTTTTGACAGCTGCTCCCTTAGGCTAGGTGCCACGGGCACCAATTCAGTGCATGGCCACGGTCAAACACACCTCAGACAAGTATGCATTCAATGAACACAAAACCTCTAGTGATATAAACACACACAGACAGTTTTCATCTGAAGTTCCAGCAAGTGGCATTACAGAGATTACACCAGCAAGCAGATTATCATAACATGTCATTGTCCCTGTCGATGGATGGGCACTTGGAGTCTCCCCTGGTGAATAATGCAGCTGTAACTGTACCCTTTGAGGTGTTTGCCAAGACTAGCCAGATACTCCCCAAGGGTAAATTGATCAAATTGACCCAATAATGTCATCGGGTAGAGATTTGAGACAAGAGAGACAAGATCCATGTGATAGATGCTGTTTCTTGGTTTGAAACCAACTAAAAAAAGCAAAGAATCAAGCTAGAACTCTTGTGCTTGTATTTAACTAGGTCATTTCATGTAATTAATGAGCATATTTTAGAAGCTACATTTTGTTGTTCTTTCTTTGACATGTTTGACTGCTAACAGAACAAAGCTCAGTAGAAGATATGACAGGGACCAGCTGTCTCACTGCAGGACAGGTGCTGGGATAAGGCACAACACCCAGAGACAGCACCAGCATGCGCCTGATGTCCATCTTACACAAAAACATTTACTTATCAGTTAAGCAAAAGGCCACAGTAAAAATAAAAAACTGCATTATGAACAACAACAGAAAGTTCATGAACGTATAATTAATTTAAACCATCACAAGAACTTACTTCTCAACATATGATTCCTTTTTTCTGCCTTCCTGCTGTATTCCGATGATGAATCTGCTGAGCAAGAATAAAATCAAGGCGCTCTGGTTCAAACGACAAAAGTAAAGTGAGTGTTAAAGAATGAGCGGGAGCAGCGAGTACAGATGAACCGAGAGAGGAGGGGGGATAAAGACAGTTGACCCAGCCTCCTCTCACTCAGTCACTGTGCTGCTATGCGTGACCATGACTACCCCGGGT